TTGATGCCCATGCTTGGATAGAGTAGAATGAATGTGATTTGGAAAGAAAAATTACTTCTTATGACTTTTAAATGCTTAAAAAAATGTGCTCCTCAATATGTATTTATTTATTTTTATTGTTGATAGTTAATACTATATTAACTTAAGTATAACATTGGCCTATTGATTTTGTGCTATTTATTATTAAATTGTTATTATTCTGGTAAAACCTTTGTTACGGTACCTATTAGTCTCTTTATTTGAGTTAAATAAAATTATGAATTATGAATTATTTGTCTTCAAAATTTACCTTTAATAAAAATTTACCTTAATAATACAGTACTACCAATTCTGAAGGCACATGTAGCCAACTTTAACAACCTGGTTCTTTTAATGTATAATATCAGTCAGGAAAAAAGAACATTTTTATATCGGTCATCCAAAAGCTGGAATGAAATACCACACAAATTAAAAAATTATTTGGAAAAGATGCCAACTTTTTCATTCCAAAATCATTAAAAATAATATTTTAAAATATTATTTTATATTTATTTTATTATATTTATTTATTTTTATTTATTAATTTATTCATTGTTTAAGTTACACTGTATAGATGTTTTTTTGTCAATGTACCACTTTGAAAATCAGTACTGTAGTACTGAAAGTGCCTACAGTATAAAGAAAGATTAAATAAATAAATAAATAGAGTCCTGGTACGACAAGGACATACCACATTAAAATGCTTTTCAATCAAAATAACATGATTTACTGTACCTCCTTTAACCCTCTTTTTAATCAAATACTAATATGCCCCTAAATTTTAACACATAAAATGTCTATTAATCATAAATGTTTTACTTACTGTGTTGTAAACATTTCAGAATAAGAATATAAAGACATAGATAAGATGTATGATATAAAATCCATACCATCTGAACTCCGGTGACCTCTCAGTTAATTGAAGTAGGATGGTACTACTAGCATCGCCTAAAGACTTCCAAGTGTGTAAAATAACACCTCCCACTGTCGCGTATGCATGAATAAAATTACTTAGGAAGTCTACTTATATATTACATTTAATATTAGTAGGGATTTAGAAAGTTATAAATATATTTCTATTATTTGTACAATTCCAATGTAAAATATTCTTGAGTCTTGTATTAGAATTTCATGTAATGCCTATGTCTTATGCACTTCCCTTTTTTTCATTCTGGATACGTAACTTAGCTTTTATTGTTACATGATTAATAATCACGAGGCTGGGAATCACTGAGGCGGGTCAAGATATATGCAAGAGGGGGTGGGGCCAACAAAGAAAAAGGGCACAAATGACATAAGTTTAAATGCTGTGGGGAAACTGTCCTGTCTTGTGACCTCCCATCCTTTGAGAGACTTGAAATCCAAAAAAGATATTAGATTAGCCTGAAAATTATACTCAATAATGAACTGTATAGTAAAAACTGGATTATAGAGTACATGCTAAAAGTTTGTGATACATTCTTATATTAGTGATTAATATGATCATTTTATAAAATGCTTTATTCAAATAATTTTGTTACTTGCTTGCTTGTATATTATCAATGTAAACAAGTTTATGATGACCTTCCAAATAATGTGGAACCAAAAATAAACAGTTTAAATCTTCAGTGAACTTAATTAGTATAAGGCCTATATTTGTAATTCAATACATGGGCTTATGTTTCGTATTGTGTATAGGCCTATGGATCAGTTTCACCCCTTTTGAAAGAGCCTTGCAGTTTTGGTGAGCCACTGATTATGAGTCTTGAAGGGTTGTTTGTATTGAAAGACATTTGATTGGGACTAAAGGACCAGAAGGTCAGACTCCTAAGGAAAACTAACCACAGTTAAATCTAAGCCCTTTGTTATCAACATATTTTAATTATTTTGGTGACAGTAGTTACCTATTTATTGTAATAAAATGTGAATAAATATTATAACAGACTCAAATAGAAGTTATGTTATTTATTAGGTTTATTAGGTAATGAATTTTTATTATGTACAGTAAGTGATCTCAAATGGAAATCTCGTCTGTCCAAAAATTATTCAAATTAGCCAGTAATTGATATAACAAAGAGGAGAAACTCCTCCTGCCACTCCCCTTTGTACACTATAGATAAAGTCAACATACAAAGGAAAAGCATACAAAACATAAAGAGGATGTACAGTATTGTGTATGTGTATAATTTTCATTTGACTTTTAATGTTCTAATTAGGCCATGTAAAAAAACAGTTGTTGATCGTCCCCTTCCTACTTAAAAAAAATCACCCGACCTCAACTCAAGAAAAAATACCTTCTTTACGCCAATAATTCAACTTCGGCTAGGCCTAGGCTTTTGTTTTTTGTGTAAATATTTTGTCTTTCAATTGTTTGTACGTATAAATTCACCTGATCAAAACACTGGAAGATCCGGCAAAGTCAGCCACCATTTACATGAGGCCTTGAACTCCCACCAAATTCTGAGACCCATATTTACATGATTTGAATGTCTGAGGAGAATATGAAATCGTTCGCAGGAAACGTTATATAAAAAGTCTCAGATTCAGGTTTTGAATTCAGGGAGTGGTATTGTTGTCAGTCACCGAAATTTGATTACTACTTTGCATAATTAATCTTTCAAGCTAAGTAAATATGACCATGACCTAGGCCACTAACCTTTTTGAATTGTCAATTTGACTGAGAATGGCTGACAGGGAGCAACATCTGAAGTACCAAGGGAGGAATATAAATGCTTATCAAAAGTTATCCTAAAACAAAGAATATTTTAATGATTTACCAAAGGCTGAAGGCGCATAATTGTCGGCAGACATCAAAATCATAAAATCCCAAATGATTGGTTTAGTAGTTGCATCAGAGTCTCAGAGCTGTCATTTTCTATAGTAGCCACATTTGGTGACCCAATGCTAATGTGTAAATAGTAAATAAATAATGTGTAGGAAGAAGAAATATTATAGTCAGTTAATAACAAGGATTTAAGATGTTTTAAAGTAGGCAAAATTGCGTAAAGAAAGGTCTGCAGAAACCAATAAGATTTTATTGGTATGGGAAGGGAGTCCTCCAGGATGGAACTGCTATTTAAGCAAAAGGTATCGCTATACTTTTTATACTTGTAGTTTTTCTACAGGCAAAATCCATGCCTAGACAGGAGGACTACTACACTAGTACTACTAGCCTACCTAGGCCTACAGTAAGCTAGGCACGACAAAGTACACGAAAATGTGTTCAAGTCGGTGTTGGACAGTTTCAGCGGCGACGAACAAGTTCAACCGCGATGTATGGAACACATCTTTATCGTATATTTTTAGTCAATTCCATTCATTGAATGACTAATATCCTAATACTGTTAACTATAATATTATAAATATGCATATTGATCAGTAATAAAAAGACTGAGAAGGGCAAACATGTTTCATTTCAACATATTTTATTTATGTCAATACGTAAATTGGTATAATGCTGTACATGTTGGAGTGATGACCCAAAGTCAGTGGTGGGTAACCCAAAAATATAAGCTTTGGGGCTGAATTCTTCTTCATGTTATTTAGACGTTTATGATTCCGGAACGGAATGTTGCATGTTAATATTTTTTCTGGAAAATGTTCTTAATAAACTATTCTACACCACTATATGGTTTTAAAAAATTAAGATTTATTTTCATCTTAAAAAAAAATGCATAAAGAGACCAAGTTTGAATACTGTACTCAGTAATGTTTTAGATATTCCTGTTTTATGACAAATTTATTTTACTTCTGCCTATGTTGTGCTAAGCTTTTGGTACTTTTATGATACAAGTCTCCTAAGTTCAATCTTCATTGCTATATAATTTAAAGAACATCGACAATACATTTACGGTTTTTAATTTTTAATTAGTTTACAGTATTTTGTAAATTATTTGTTTTGGCATATATGGTACTCAACTTCCTGTTCTCTTTTAGTTTCCAATAAATGTTTCCATCTATGTTAAATTTGTGATTAAGTGATTCATTTAAATACTTCCTGTCATGTTTTAGTTCAAACGGTGATAAAAAATATTTTTTATTGCCACACGTGCAGGAAAACATTATTTGCGGATTAAACAAAAAAAAAACTCTCCATCTCCATCTGATTCTTTTTGTTAGGGGTGATGTTAACCAATAATTTTTTTTTTTTTGCTTTGTATACAAGACAGAAGAAACAATTATTTTTTTATTCTGTCATTTAAGGGAGAACAAACACAAGAAAACAATGATTTTTTGTTAATTAGAAATCAAATTTGAGTGTGGATAATAATTCTTTTATGGGTCTAATAATAAATTATGTTGGAATTTTGAGTTTATCAGTTCAAACATTCTGTTCTTATTGGATTTTATGGCCCTTTTTGGAAAATTTTCACACCAAATAACACCTAGTAACATTGAATATTATCAATAAAGGCATTGATTATGATCTGGTTTATTTTTTTTACAGTTTGCTACATTTCTTATATAGTACGTACAATCAAAGGCAACAACAGTGTTGTCTGAATAGTAAAATCCAGCAATCTGCAATCCTTTCAGAGCTTCAGAAATACAGGTCCACCTTTTTTGGGATTTCATAGTGTAACACAATTTACATAGAATTTAACAGGATTTATATACTATTCCGTCACTTAAACACTGGTAGTCAAGTTCTTAAGAATAGTAAGCTTGCCCTTAGGATATGTTTGTTTTTTTTCCTTTAACAAAATACAAAATCAAAATTGTAAACAAGTTGGTGAATGATACAATATACAGTATACATATAGGCCCTACATATTATAGTCTGAGTAAACCAATTTTAAATTTGGTGTTATACACAATTTGTTCAGGCTATGGTAGCTCCAGATTTGCTAGAAAGGAAACTCTTAAAAATGAGAGTCCAGCTTGAGTTTTGTGAAAGATTGCAAACTGTGAGCCCATCAAATCGTACATTTTATAATTGTCGAAGTGTAATCTGTATCTATTTTTTATGGAATTAACCAACATATATTTCATTGTTCTTGCAGTATTGGAGATAGCAGTTCCATTAGCAGTGGCATTAGTGACACTATTGCCGACATCAGCACAGACGAAAATTTCTTTTCCTCTCCAACACATCGTAGATCTAGAAGGGATACTAAAGATACAGGGGTAAAAACTGCCGGACAAGGGTTAGCAGCTAGACATAAGGAGGTAAACAACAACGAGGACAAGGATATTACGGTTACTAAACGCCAGTCAGATAGTGGAAACATATGGCGTAAACCTGAGGGTCGTTTCCATGGTCCAAGATCACCATCTGAGTCTGGAGATTCTGAAGATTTTACCTTTGATGAACGTGGTGGAATGATGAGAAGTTCAGCAAAGAACTCTGGAGTTAGACGAAATCAAAAGTTGGGTGGTCAAATGTGTGAAGCCAATGGAACCAAACCACAACGTATTAAATCAATCACTGATAAATTTGAAGATGGAAAGAGCTCAAGTGAGAAGAGATCTCAGCTTGCAATGCGCCAACATGCAGGAATTGGTAAAGGTCAAAATTTTGGCTATGGTAGAAGAAATGGTTCAATGGCAGGAAGCAACAACATTGGAAGTCGTCTTGCTGGTGTCTCAAAACCTCAACTTACAAAGCCAGGTCAAAGTGCCATGAGAGAAGCTGATGCAAAGAGTACAAGTGCTATGAAAGCAAAGATAACGAGTCCAAATGCACAACAAACAAAGAGTTTCATCAAACCTAATGCGCCAACTGGTAGCCAGCTGGTAAACTCTAGTACTTGTAAAGGAATGGATAAATCAAATGGACACGTACCTGCAATATCCCCTGTGAATGCTTCTAACAATGCTATAACTAAGTCAGACACAAGAGCTAGGTTAGTATCAAGTCCAGCAGGACCAGTCACATTATCTATAAGTGCTGTTGGGAATCAGAAAATCCAAACAACCATAAAAAGCTCTGACAACAATGTTCCAAGGAGTCACTCTGCACAGTATGTCACCAATGATCAAAAGGAAGATCCAAAATCCACAAATAGTCATCTAACAGTTGCATCCGACTCTGAGGCCATGATGCTGAAGAGTTCTAAACGCTCTCCTTCTATCCTGAGCGTATTCGGCCGAGGTAAAGCTAGTTCAGAATCTGGACGTAGCTCAGGAATTAACGGTCAGAGGGAAGAGGATACCATTATTTCAAATCCATTTGCATCCCTGAATATGTCTGATAAATACATTGACCCCATTAATGAAATGCACATGCGAGCAGGAATGCATCGTGGCCAGCACCTACCAGGAACTGCGTATAGCTCTACCCCTTATTCCAGTAGTACACTTCCAATTCGTGGACAAGCTGCCAAGAAGCATCAGTCACGAGGTGGACAAATGAACCTAATGCTACGTAATGGTGTGCTTGGCCCAGCTCCAGCCTTACAACAACACACTGATTCTGGCAGCATAGAGTCACTGGACTCCACCAACTCAAACCTTTCAATAATGAGCAAAGCAACCAGCGAAAGGTATGGTCTAACTTCTGGAATATCTTCTCTAACTCGCAGTAATAGTATACGATCAACACTCTCGGAAAAGATTCTCTCTCGGCCAATGACCTTAAAAGAACTTGACGAGTCTGTGTGGAATCGATCAAACAGCTTGGCAAATGTGACTGATGCTCCGTCATCACCAACTGGTTCGACCATCTCACAGCCAGCAATGCCATCACACTATCCATATGGGCAACTAGGCATGGTGTAAGTAAACAGTTTTACAATCATAATTTTATTTTCATCATATCATTGTCATACTATGATTAAATGTTATTTGGTGCTAAAAATAACCATTTGGATTCAAATGTCCTAAATACCATTAATTGAGGTTGATTGTTAATATGTGCCATGTATAGTAGTGTATTGAAAGCATACTGTATTTTGTGATAATTTTTGTCTAATCACCATGCAAAATGAAACTGATAACACAATGTGGTGAACAATCTGTGTTGCATTGCAAAAAAAAGTTGTAGTACCATTGGTGATGAATTTTGCTATTCATGATAAGAAATTAAGAAATAAGCTTGTATGATAATTTTTTGCATGGATGTTAAATATGTTTTATGGTATTTTATATTTTAGTAGTGCATCAATGGGTCGTTCAAGTAGTATTAGCTCTTCAAGTGGTTTAGGCTTGAGACTACGCAATGGTGTCATGTCACTTGAAGATCGCCAACGACAAACATTGAGTGTTGGATCATACAACGACCCTTCTAACCCAACAGGGTCGTCATTGTCTCTGTCGTCATCCTCTTCAATTTATACGGTGAGTAGTGTATTTTGAACATTAATTTCATTATGTACTAGCAAGCAAAGCTAAAATATTTGGCCTACTAAAGCCAAATTGCAGATGCAGATTTGTCTTGTTTTTGAAATTTGAACCAAGCCTTTCTATTTTTAGATAGCTTTAATATTACAAAATCATAAAACATTTAAATGTGTTACAGCAGCTTGTGTTTCATTGAGGGTCTTTTTTATATGATATTAACCTAAATACAGTAAAACCCCTCCTTTAGTACACCATTATTCAGGGACACCCCAACGAACAATTGGAAATTAGGGGATAGGTACATTTCCTGAATGTGCCAAGTGGTCAAATTAATACATGTTCAACCCCTATAATTCATTCTTTTGTCAATTTAAATGAAATCATAAAGAATATGTCATCGTTGTATGACTACATGCCAAAACCCCAATTAAGGTGACAATTTCACATTTTTGGTTAGTGTGTCCTATGTAGGGGTATCCTATTTAGGGGACACCCGTATTAAGGGTCACTCTTTTATCGTTAAAGTTGTCCCTTCATAGGGATTCTACTGTAGTACTTTTTAAATCATTAATATTGTCAATATCTGCTAACGTCCAAATGAATAGAAGTGTATTGATTTAGTTGTCTACAGAATATATTTTTTTCAAATTAAATAATTTAATTGTAACAGCCTGAAGAGAGATCGCTCTTGGAAATGCGACGATTGAAACATGAACTCGAACGTTCTCAAGACAAAGTCGGCAATCTAACCTCCCAAGTTCATACAAATGTAAGTAAATATTATTACATTAAATAATATTCAATCAAGTACCATTCAGTAGAAGTAATCAGAAATGAAATGTAAACAAACACCATGATTGCTGACCTGTAGGGAGAAAGAATCATTGAATGCGCAACATCTCTTGCTTTTTCTTCTGCGATGTCCAAATCTAAGTTCTATGTAGGTAGGACTAGATATTTGATTTCACAAGATTCGACAATTATTGGCCTAGGTAGAGCTACTGACATTAATGTGTTACTAATAAGTAGTATTAGTTAGAGTTTCAGTTTACATTACTTCAGTATAGGTATAGCGTATGGTATCAGTCATTGGCTTATTGGTCAGTTGTAGAGTATGTCGTCGACTCGTAGCAGCCATAGCTTGTGTAGCTAGACTAGGGAGGTCATCCACGGAGACTAGTAGGCTAGGACCTACTAATTATGATGGGTGATGCCAGGATTTGTCTGACGGGGGAGGGGATCCGATGTCTCCCTCAAGAGCATAGTGCGCATGGTTGGGCGTCGACTAAAACCTTTTTAAAATGGTCCTGGTGGGGGTGGTGAAGTGAAACCCCAAAAACTATTGGATGAATTTTTAAATATATCTTCATTAGTTTGGTAATAATACTTGTATCCAACTTTAATTAGAGTATTGATATTTCTTTATGCTGTTAAATCAGGCAGAAATTTTGCCAAATGCTATGCAGTAGTATTGATGAGTGCTGACAATAATAGGTGGACGGTTAATGAATGTGTAGCTTAAATGAATGTTTTTAGAGAAATGAGTATATTAACCTTTCCATTGTCAACCAAACTTAACAGCCTTACCAATTAGAATGTGTTATTGAATGCAGGATCAGAATTAGCCTAGCCTTAGCGCTCTCCTGTCCTCTCATTGGACATTGAGGCTTCAAGAATCATCTTCCACTTTTCCTGTCTTTTGCCACAACTGCTGCATTCTTCCAGCTACTGAAACTAAGTTCATTTCTTTCTGCTAGGCCTCCACGTTGTTTTTAGTCTACCTTGACTCCTTTTCCCCTCTGGTGCCCATTCCAATGCAATATATGTGTCGTCTTTATATCATTATTATGTGCCCTATTTATCTCCATCATTAAAAATCTCTATTCTGATTGGAACAGTCTGTCTGTGTGTTATTGTGCAGATCTTAAGCAGGACCAGAATTATGTCTCAGAAATATGATAAAATATAGAGAAGGTAGCCGTGTTAGTCTAAATGATAAACACAGCACAACCACACAACAAACATTTCCAGCTATTTAGAAAGTTATATTCTTATGAATTGTTGAAATAAATACTAAAATGATTCATACTATAATAAAATTAAAAACTTTATTACAACATTAAAACAGCACAATTTGTAAACTACAAAATACGTAAAAAAATATGGGGATTCCCTGTGTGCATTTTTCGCCATCATGAGGCTTCTTAAAAATTAGGAACTTTCTAGTTCTAGTTCTAGTTTTTTTTTGTTAAGTCAATGCTTTAAATGATTTTGAAACAGATTTGAATTAATATAGGGGCACTTTATACCCGAGGTAACATAACTAACACGTAGGTCTTAATTTAAAGATGCATTTTGTAAGGCCTGCATTGCTAATGTTAATCACCCATTAGCAGGATATGGACTAGACCTACTGTATGCTGTCTAGGGATGATATGCTTGTCCAGCCTCATAGCATACCATATAAATATCTTTTATTATTTGTAGGCCTAATGAGGTTAGTATAAGAGATTTACAATATTTTATTTGGAGTTGTAGTTAGGGTCAATAGGTATGCAGTAGGCATACATTTGTCCCTTGATTATCTACCACTGCAATAAACAGATAAACTTTATCAAACATTTATCTACATATAAGTCTGTGTTGACTAATCATTTATGAATGCTCATTATAATAAATACTCCATGGAAATGTGTCACTCAACGGACAAGGCCATCTACGAGCAAATACTGTATAATACCTGTATACTGTATTTTGGTTATGAACTTAGGATATTCTGAATATAATATGAATGCATGTTTTCTGAATATTATGTTGCTAGGTGGCATTGTTAGCTGCTCTGATAGTATTGTAAGTTCAAGTAATAAGGATATCCATCCCATCAACAGTAACAGTTTTTCCAAGTGTTGTAACATGTTACATACATATCCATATTTTGGCGGAGAATTTTTGTTTGATTATGGCGGTTTGAGAAACACCTGATATTTACTGCAATCAACTAATGTTGAATTAATGTTATGTTTTGTCTGTTCAAAGATCTTGAACTTTACCCGCTTGACTAAAATCATTGATAAATTCAAATATATATTTACTTAAGTACAGTACCTTGATTTACCTGAACCTCGATGATTCAATGTAGTGCTTAACTGAGATGTAGTCTGCTGCCCTCATTTATCTTTAGGGTTACTCTCACAATAAGCAAAGCCAATTGGTGCACATCAAAGATCTTATAAACACAAGATAGCGTTCTCCGCAATTTACGCGTAACAAATAGAAGCGTCGGTCAAGGTTCAAATAAGAGACAGGGCGCCATTCATGCGCTATTATACCAAAGAGAAAAAGTAATCAGTTTTGGAAGAGGGCGTCCTATCTGTTGCCATGGATCTGAGATGGTTCCTGTTCTGCTGTTCACAGGATTGATACCCAAGGTATACTGTATGGTCAGAGCAGTCAAGGTCAAAAGTTTCCAATTTAGCAAGAGGACGCCATTCATGCCTTATTACAGAATTTGCACGCGTAAATCGCGGAGAACGCTATCTTGTGTTTATAAGATCTTTGGTGCACATTTAGAAGATAGATAAACATTTTGCATTCATGATATTTTTTTCAGCTGTTACAAAAAATATATTAATGACTTCTCTGTTGAAAGACATACAGATCAAACATTTGAAAGTATATTCTATTTTAGAAATAGAAAATATCAGTACCAAGTGATTAGTTATATTATATAATCTGAACTGCTTTTTATTGAGGATCTTGGCTTGAATTATATAGATTGTTTGCACACATTTTCCAGGAGCCTTTGTAATTCACCATCTTGTTTGGCAACAATGCTATAGATATGTATAACCTATGTAGAATCAATTGTTATTGTGAGCTATTGTGATTTGCAATAATAATGCTATAGATATTTATCAGCTGTGTAGAATCAATTGTTAAAATGGGCCATTATAATTTTGCTGTTGGTGAAGTTACAGTAGTGGCTATCGGCGCTGTCGCAGTGCAGAAAAAAGCCACTGTTTCTATGAGCATGTCCGCAGTGCAAAAATGCTGCTGTTTTCTATCGGCACTTGCCACAGTGCGAAAAGAGCAGCTGTTTTCTATCGCCACTGGCGCAGTGAAAAAAAATCTATAGTTTTCTATAGACACTGCCGCCAAAATACTGCAGTCTTTTTTTCACAAGAATTTTTATTTTTTTCCATAAATTTATGTATGGCACCATGCTTTTTTTAAGACTGATTGCCTTGGGAATTCCAATTAAAAATTTTGAAAAAGTGCACATTGTATACACCTACAAGAGAGAAAATGTAAAATCAAACTATTTGAGTTATGATGTAGGCCCATTCAGTCAATTAATACTTTTGAAAGGAACCACAATAGATTATGGCCAGGCAAAATATTATTGCAAATGATATGTTGTGATTACTCTGTAGCCAAAACTAATGAGAGATTTTACTGCTAATTGATAAATCTTGACAAACTGGGTAACATCTGCCGCTGGAAAAGTAAATAGGGGAAAAACTCATTTGTCAATGACAGTGATTTTGTATTTGAAAATGTTGCAATAAACTACCAAACATTGTAACAGGTGGAAATATGAATCCATAACACTTAGTATAATAACTTTCCAAAATGTATTTATGAACGTGTATAAGTATGTTGATGCTTCATTTGCTCAATTCTTAATGCCAGGTTAATCATGAAAGAATTCTATGCAATATATATTGCACTTGGCTTAGTGTTTGTTTTGGTTGAGGAATAGATGGCAAATTAAGTGGCAAATAAAGCTTAAATGTGAATGAGGATTTTTTTTTAGGTGAGGCGGGGAGTGGCTTTTAGTGTTACAACTAGAAATAAAGTTACTGTATTGCCTCTTTGTTTTTATAAAAATAAATATGTTTTAGTTGCACAACAGTACCACAACATAGGTATGCCACTTTCTATTCACATTGAAATTTACCTGATGAATGATTACTATGCGCAGCTCTACTAATTGCATATTATTGCTACAACATAATAGTTGTTAAACAAAATGATACTGGCACCTAGTATTCTAAAAATATACTGTAAATATTTAGGGTTTTTTAAGATTTATTTTATTTCACCAAAATCTAACGGCGACAAAGGTCACTTTGGGTTACTGGAAAGGAGTACTGTTTGTACACTTGTGAAAATATTGATAATTGTGAATGATCCCTAACACTAATGCAAAATCAGTGTATTAAAATAGAGATATTATTGAATATTATACATATTAAAAAAAAAACCTTCATTGAAAATTAACCTGAAGCAGTGTTTTTTTTAATAAACTGGTCCCTAACACTAATGCAAAATCAGTGTATTAAAATAGAAATATTTTTGAATATTATACATATAAAAAAAAAAAACCTTCATTGAAAATTAACCTGAAGCAGTGTTTTTTTTAAATAAAATGGTGTTTGTACTTTAAAAGATAAATACTGCAGGGCGAAATGAAAACCTTTTGTTGCAACTAAACATTGTTTGTAAATCCACTGTTTCAATATCAGTGCTAGTTTTCAAGGCTCACACTCCATTGGTGTCTTACAATCTGATTGGAAATCAAATTTGCCCACATTTTTGCAGCTGTGTATTGGAGAAGCATCTATTAATTCTGATAGACCCAATTCCCGCCAAATGATTAAGATTTAGATCTTAGACTGGATTACTACTGCGTGAGTGGTGTAGAAGAAAATGCCACCTCTCCATTCTTTTCAGTCAGTACCTAGTTTAGTGGCACTAATGAGCATA